CAAGTAAAACATTATCATATCAAAGCCACAGTTGCACCAAAAGGATAACAGATCTTAGCTAAGTTGAGTCCTGGGATGCCAGGAGTGTAACGTTGTCTTAAGATTTTAAAAAGTCAATCAGTCCAAGTTACCACATTCATAAGAAAAAAGTAGGAAAAAAAAAAACCCCACTTCATGATAATCTCAATAAAAGCTGAAAAAAATCATTTGATAAAACTGGACAACTGATGTGGGGGAAAATAAGACTTCTTTTCTAAATATAAATACTGAGAAACTTTCTCAATCCAATAAAGGACGTCTACAACAAAACCAGGGCAAGCATCATACTTATTTGCAAAATAATGAAACTTTCTCTTGAGATCAGAAGGAGACAAGGTGCTACTGGCAGCGCTGGCCAGTGAAACAGAGGAAGAAAAAGTATAAAAATTGGAAGGAGGAGACAGAGCTCTGATTATTCAAACATAGTGGAAACATGATTGTCTCTTGCAAAAAACAAACGTAAACACTAGAGTCAGACTTGGGAGAGCTCTATCGTGCAGACGGACGGGTGGATTCAATACTTGGAAGGTATCAGTTCTCTTCAAATAAACCTGTAGAGTCAAGGCAATCCCATAAAAATCCCAATAGCATAACCGAGTCTAGTTTGAAGAACAAAGCTAGAGGACTTACCAGATATCAAAAAAATTATAAAACTGTCATAATTAAAACTGTGTGATATTAGTGTGGAGGAAAAAAAAAGACTAATGGATTGTAATGAGATGACAGAAAGACAGAGAGACAAATGATAGGTACGTGTGTAGACAGATGACAGATACGGTTCTTGACTTTTTTTTATAATACCGCTCTGCAGGGAAGCCTGTGCAGGCTCATCAAAAAATCATGCTAGGGGGAAAAAATCATGCTGGATCACCCAGATACCTGTACAGGGAAAAAACGTTTAAATATGTATTTCACAACGCATACAAAATCGACTTCATATGAATTAAAGATTCAAATGTGAAAGATAAAGCAGCACAGCTTCTAGGAGGAATGTGGGGAAATGCCTTCCTGAGTTTGCCGCAGACGATGACTTCTTTAAAAGGATCCTGTCGTCCTGCCCCCCGGGGAGACCTGGACCAGCCAGGAGCAGTCCGGTTTGGTTTTGCAATACTTGACTTGCTTTGGGAATTATGCAACTTCTAAAACTATAAAATAAAAAAATAAAAAGATCCCATCGTGAAATGCAAATCAGCACAATGAGGCATCAGCTCACACCTGTCGGAAGGGCTAAAATCAACAACGAGGGAAACAAGTGTCGGTGAGGGCGCGGAGAGGAAGGGACCCTCGTGCACTGTGGGTGGGCGTGCACACTGGGGCAGCCTCTGCAGGAAACAGTATGGGGCTCCTCAAAAAATTAAAATTAGAGCTACCCTACAGCCCAGCAATCACACTACTGGGTATTTGCCCCCAAAATACAAAAATACTGATTCAAAGGGATACATGTACCCCAGTATGTATAGCAGCTTTATTTACAGTAACGAAGATATGGAATTGGCCCACAGGACCATCGATAGAGGAATGGATAAAGAAGATGTGCTATAGACACACAGTGGAATATTACGCAGCCATGAAAAAGAATAGAATCTTGCCATTTGCCACAACAGGGCTGGAGCTAGAGAGTATTACGCAAAGTGAAATAAATCACTCAGAGGAAGACAAATACCATACGATTTCACTTATAAATGGAATTTAAGAAAAGAATAAGCATAGGGTAAAAAGAGAGACAAACCAAGAAACAGACTCTTAACTGTAGAGAACACACTGCTGGTCACCAGCAGGGAGGAAGGTAGAGGGTGGGGGAAACAGGTGATGGGACGGAGGAGGGCACCTGTGGTGATCAGCATGGATGAGGTATGAGAGTAGTAAATCACTATGTCGTACACCTGAATCTAATATTACACTGTATGTGAACAACATTGGAATTAAAGTATTAAAGAATAATAATTTAAAAATGAAACTGGACTTCTGGGCGGCTCAGTCAGTTAAGCATCTGCCTTTGACTCAGGTCATGATCCCTGTGTCCTGGGATCACATCCCATGTCGGGCTCCCCTGCTTAGTGGGGGGTCTTTTTCTCCCTCTACCCCTGCCCCCTGCTCATGATCTCTTTCTCACACTCTCTGTCTCTCAAATAGATAAATAAAATCTTTTGAAAAAATCTCTTTCAAATAAATAAAATCTTTAAAAAAATGTGTTTCAAAAAATGAAACAAAGAGGTTCCCTTTCGTGCATCTGGAGCCAGGCTTCCGCTGGCGGACGCAGACATGTCTCCCTCCCTCCACGATCTCCCCTGACTTCCCGCCCTCATCCGACCTGCACACCCGCCACCGCTCTGGTCCCTCCTTGCACTCCCTGCGTCCTTTCTCCACACGGGCTGAGCCTCCGGGAGCGGTGGGCAGGAGGACCCCTGTTCGACCTGAGCTCACCCTCACCTTCCGGGATCACCAAGATTTCACAGTCACTTGGCTGGACCCATTCACCTCCAGGGAGGTGCCATCGGAGGAGCATAAACCCTGCTACTGCACAGAGCTCCGGGGACATGGAAGACAGCCCACAAGGCTCTTTCGAGGATATAGTTCTGTTACTCCTCCTCTGCGTGAGACCCTCCCCTAAGAAAGTGGAACAAGGAATGCCATGGCTTGGACGAGGGAAAAAGGGACAGGATTCACTGGGCTCACACCTGTCCCCTTCTCCAGAGCACGAGTTCCCTGAGGGAAGGAACAGTTTCCAATACGTTTCTTAATCCCCAGGGGGTAGATAGATAGCTATAGCCCAGAGGTAGCAGGTGCTTAGCCAGCGTTTGAAGAAACAGAAGGAAAGGGGAGGAGGGAGACAGGAGGGAGAACAAAGAGGGAGGGGAGGAGCACAGTCTGGGCGAGGCCTCAGTGCCACCTGCCCGAGCTTCCTTCCCTCTGGCTCGGTGTCCTACCCAAAGGGCATTTTGAAATACTCTTTCCATTCGGAAAAAAAGTGGGTCTGGAGTAGCCAAAGGGTCTGAACATTTCTTCCTTTTCAAGGTCTAGGCCTGATACACTGAGTATTTTTGTTTGTTGGGTTAGAGAGTCTAGTTATCAACGTTCTTCCACTTGAATTCACCTCTGGGGGCCTGCAAGCTTCCCCTGAAGCAGGAGCCTCACCAGCGCCTTCTCGCATGACGTGGGTTCGATGCTCGCTCCGGACTCTGCGCATTCCCAACCCGACGTGGGTTCGATGCTCGCTCCGGACTCTGCGCATTCCCAACCCGACGTGGGTTCGATGCTCGCTCCGGACTCTGCGCATTCCCGCCCAGCCCCAGCACATCCCCGGGCACTCATTTCCTCAGCCCTCGTCGTGCCAAGCACAGCGCCTCCAAAAAGGCTTTCTTTTTTTTTTTTTCAATTTGGCTGTTCGTCTAACTTCCTCTTTAATTTTCATATGAGGCATTTCTAGAGGAGAGACTGATGTCACAGGGCCTCTTTCCAGATACTGTTTTGAAATCAATGTAACCACAGCGCTGCTGGACACTGAGGAGTCCATCTGGGCCAACTGAGTCACGCCCGGGCACAGGGCGGGTTAGGAGCTGGGGCAGGCACTAGAGTGTCCCTCCAAAAGGGGGAGAAAGGGGGGTGTTATTCAATACTGAGGCACCCCCAGGAAGAACATCGGGACCAGCTGTCACCTTTGCCCTTATGTCCTGTCCTGGCGCTCCTGATAGGAGACCTCCCCAGACACTGAACCCTCAGTTGCTTAGAACTCTAGCCTGGATGGCTCAGGATCACCTGTGCTCCTCAGAAGGAAAACAAGAGCTCGGGTTGGGTTCCAAACTGGCCAGTAGCCCTCCCTGGCTTCCTGGGCCATCCTTGCCCTCCGCGGGACTCAGCTGTGCACATTACCCGCTCCCCACCTCCCAGCCTCGGTCCATGCCTCTCCTGTCCTATTGGGAGGGCTCAGGCCATACCAGCAGAAGTCATGTCATGGGTGACAGAGCAGCCCGTGCTGAGTGAGGCTCTTAGGGAAGCTGCTTAACTCTGGAGACCTCCAGGGCTATCCCGTCTCTGGAGCCCAACAGCCCAACCTGGAGGGATGGTCCCTGATAGTGTTTATTGTACACATGCTAAGCAATGGATTTCCTCCTCAAGGAAGCAAGCTGTGCAAAGGTCCTGGATCCCCTCCACGGGGACTGGAATGTCTTCCCAACTTTCTGTTGACAATCGTGTGCCCGTGCCAGTAGGGGTGGGACAGACCCTTCCCGGCTGGCCTGTTGCCGGGTAAGCCACATGAGCTCCAAGGTTCTGGGCTGCTTGGACCCTTGAGAAATCCCACCTTGGATGGAAGGCTGAAGGCACAGTATTGGACAGAGAATCAGCCTCTATCCCCCTCTATTAGCAATTTCCATCTTGTGATAACACAACTTGAAATATGTCCTAATGGAAGAGAAGTCATTCTGAATTTTTGCCGAATTTTCAGCTTTCCTTGACCCCTCACCTCCTGTTTGCTCCAGCACTCACACCCGTGTGGGGACCGGCAGGGGCACCTGGCAAATGCTCATGGTCAGCACTCAGGGAGCAAATGCACTGATCCTCTCGTCCTTGCCCCGAGTGACGTGAGGTCTGCTCCTTGCCCGGGGCCCCGTAAGTCAGTGACCTGAGATGCGCGCGTATGCCAGAGAGTGTCTGCCTGAGATGAGAACATGCCAGTGTACTGACCACTGCCCAGCATTTTCCAGCAGGGACCCAGGCTCAGTTTCCCTCCCACCAACACAGCATCTCATTGAATCTCTCAAGTGAGAAGGTTAACTGAGCCTGATTCACTACCATGCTCATTATTACCGTTCCGGTGAGCCCTGCCTCAGCTTCTTCCTTGCTTTTGTTCAGAATTAGAACTCTCTGCCTTCCTGACCTCCGAGTAAAGAGGTTCAAAGACCTTCATTCGGAGCCCCGAAACCAACCACAGACTCTTCCGACCGTGCCGGCCCTGGGCGTACCTTCATGAAGAGTAGCCTCCTGCAGCTCTTGCCTCGGTCACTCCCAGCTGCTTGGACCTGAACCGCCTCGGAGGCCAGCGCCAGATCAGGAATGCTGCTGGGCCCGGCCTCCGATGTGTCTGCCAGCTGCACAGATGAGTGGAAAATCCCCTCCTTGCCCTGGCCCAGGGAGATCTCGAAGGGATCCGGGTATCTCTCATCGGGGCTTGAACCATCGTCACTGGTCTTAGCGTTACAGAGCATCAGGGACCGGGAGATGGACCGCAGTTTTGTAGATTTCCTGCTCCTTCCAGAACGGCCGTGCGGGTCCATCCTCAGAGAGGAGGTGAGGCTGCCCTTCTTCTTCTCCCGGTCTGCGGCCCTTGGGTGGCGGGTGGTGACTGGGCTGGGCTTAGCTGCCACGTCGTGGGTCCCTGGAGGAAAGAGGAAGGAAAGAAGCAGTGTGACTCGCTACTGACAAGTGGAGTGGGACAGAGGCCTGGAGCAGAGCCACGGGAGCTGGTGCCCGTGTGGCAGGGCACGGGGGAGATCGAACTTTGGTGGCACTGGCCCGCCCACGTGGCCCACCTCATGGGGTCCGGGGGACCCAAGTGTTTACCACCCCCTCCACTCCCCGAAGCCAGAGCTTCTCTTATCCAAACCCTCACTCTGCAGACAGGGAAACCGAGGCACAGAACAGGGAAATGCAGACCCAAAGGCCCAAAGCGCCGTGGCAGAAAGCAGCCGTCAGAGTCCCGGGATGTCTTTAGAGACAGAGGTCCGAGCTTTGTGACATCTGTGCTTCCAGCCAGTCTGCAGGGGCTCCAGTCTATGGAGCGGGTTCGGGGTGATGGGGACGAGGATGTACCTGCCTGTCCCCTTACACCACCCCTGGTGAGTCCTGTAGCATCTCCAGAGAAACCCCAGAGTCCAGGAGCCCCAGCTGAGGACGGCTGCTGCCTTGTCCTCCTTTCCAGATGCAGAGCCTATGACCCGGGTTGGGACATAGTGTCGGCCGGTAGTGGGACATAGTGTCGGCCGACCCTCCAGGGCTGATGGCATCTAAGAGACGGTAGCATGGGGGGAACACCCTCACACAGCAGGTGCTTGGCAAACCAGTGTGCCCTTCCCAGGGCCCAAGGTCACAACCCGGCCAGAGGCTCCTGCTCCTTCATCCATTCCCGCCCCCAGCTCTCCCAGCCCGACAGAGGGAAGACTGGCCTCAGACACCTGTCAACCCCGTCCCTCGGTTCCTAGCCCGCCCTGCTCGGCATCACCATGAGGCCCCTCCCTCAGCTTCAGTCTCTGCGAGGCAGGTGGCGAAGGGGTCCATCCAGAGCTCCTGACTCGGGCCCAAGCCGCAAAGGAGAGCCGGTGTCAGAACAGCAGACCGTGGGGCCACTGCAGGGACACAGCCGGGGTTGAAGAAGGAAGAGCAGAGCCTTTCCAACGTTCCTAACTAGAAGCCCTTCCAGAGCCCCCGCAAGGAGAATTCCTTCTTAAAGGAAGATTGTTTTTCTTCAACCCCCATGAGGCACCCAGTGATCGTTTTCTGTATCAGCTCCTTAATGTCATCAGATTACTCACCATCTACAGCAACCTCAGCCATGACTGCAAAAGAATGAATGAAAAAATGTGGGAAAGCCCAGTATATGTCGGCGTCGCTCTTGAGACGTTAGTACAAACTAACCAGATGTTAGGATATTGGTCCATTTCATCCAGCCACCATCTTCCCAGCATCTCAAGTCCCGTATGCTATGTCCTTCCAGCTTAAGTAAGGGAGAACCCCCCTCCACAGGTGGAGTCAGCCCTGTGCTGAGCCCCATGCCTGGCTGCAGGTGCTGAACCCTGCGTGGGACACCCCCAGCCCCGAGCACAAGGGACACCCCAGCCCCAAGCAGACCATAGCCATGGGACACCCCTGGCTGCCCACCAGACCCCCAGCTCTGGCCAAGAGCTGCCCGGCGTCTCCACAGTTAGTCTAATCCTACACTCTCAGCAACGACTATTTCAAAACGTTCCCTTCTTAGAAACTGGATTTCCCTCCCTTTTGATCCTAGACAGAGAATGTCTCTTCCTGCCCCGTGCAAATGCAAAAGCTCTCAGAGAGCAATCCTCCCGGCTTCCTACTATCGAATTAGCACGTGCCTTTGCCATCCACACATACTGTCCACACCCTCGGTGGTGGAACACCTGCCCTCCCGTTGAGGCTGTGCCCTCCCCCCACCGCCATCTGTTCTCTGGCTCCCACTCCCCCAGCACCAGCACCAGCAAAATAATAACAAATAATAATAATTACCCGGGCTCGTGACGCACCAGGCACTGCTCTGAGTGCTTTTAGTATTTCATCCTCACAAAAATCTACAGCAGGCTCCATTAATATCCTCGGTTCACAAAAAGGATCATCGAAGCACAGAGAGGTTAAGTCACTTTCTCGAGATCACACAGCTAGGGCTCGGTGACAGCAGGAACTAAACCAGGCAGCATGAGTCTAGAACCTGCTCTCTTCCACAGCTTCACACGGACACTGGTTATCCCCCCTCTGGAGGGCAGGTTTCCTAATCTCTCCTCCACACCGGGTCTCCAGCAACGTATGCAGATTGCTTCTGTTTAAAAAAAAAAAAAAAAAAAAAAAACTGTGGGGGCGCCTGGGTGGCTCAGTGGGTTAAGCCTCTGCCTTCGGCTCAGGTCATGATCTCAGGGTCCTGGGGTCGAGCCCCACATCGGGCTCTCTACTGAACGGGGAGTCTGCTTCCCTCTCTCTCTCTGCCTGCCTCTCTGCCTACTTGTGATCTCTCTCTCTCTCTCTCTCTCTCTCTGTCAAATAAATAAATAAAATCTTTAAAAAAAAAAAAGAAACTATGTCGAGGGGTGTCTGGGTGGCTCAGTCAGCCCTTGATTTCGGCTCGGGTCATGATCTCAAGGTCCTGACATCGATCGCTGCGTTGAGCTCTGCGTTGGGCGTGGTGCCTGTTTAAGATTCTCTCTCTCTCCCTCCGCCCCTTCCCCCTCCCCTCAACCTGCTCACATGCTAAAAAAAAGAAAAGCAACTATGTGTCAACTCCACAACCTCCTCTCCGTTATCTCTCTCTTATCCTCTTCATCTCTTCTTTTCTCTTTGTCTTTTGTTACGGTGAGAATTCTCAACACAAGTTCTAGTGTCGCAACACATTGTAACACTAACCCTAACCCTGACACATGCTGACAAGGGAACACTATTCCTTTTTATCTTCTTGAACAAATGTTTTACACCCTGCACTTTCTCTCCTCAGGCTCACCTCCCTTCAAGCCACAGCCCACAGTCGGCTTCCTTCCCCTGAAACCACTGAAACTCTCATTTGATCACTTCTGCATGTTATGTGCCCCTAAGTCATGAACCCGGGTCCAGAGGACGCAGTCCGCTTGCCTGGAACCTGTTCCGTTTTGAGAGGATTTGTTAAAACCAGACAGGCAGGGCTCAGATCTACTGGCTGTAGAATATGTAAAGTTCAATTTTTAGTGTTTTCTTTTTCCCTTCTCGTTACTCAGCTTTACCCCAGCTGTCACCTTTCAAATCCAAATGCTGAATGCTCTCCTACCTGCCGTCATCCCCAAAATAGGAGTTCTTTTGATTCTGTGGGTTCAACTCCCCAGAACTAGCGACTCACAACGCAAAGGTCACTATGAGTATTTACATATTTATATCCAAATTTTTTTGCATTTTTAAAAAATATTTTATGTATTAATTTGACAGAGAGAGACACAGCTAGAGAGGGAACACAAGCAGGGGGAGAGGGAGAGGGAGAAGCAGGCTTCCTGCAGAGCAGGGAGCCCAATGCGGAGCTCGATCCCAGGACCCCAAAGGCAGATGCTTAACAAACTGAGCCACCCAGGTGCCCAATAAATTACTTTGCATTTTTTTCAAATTCATGAGGACTCCCCATAGCTTACCTGAGCCTCATGGAGAAGGAAGGGCGTGTGTGTGTGTGTGTGTGTGTGTGTGTGTGTGTGTGTGTGTACGTGCGTGCATGCGCACGTGCACATGTGTTGCTCATAGCCAGCCCTGGTCCGTCAGGCATTTGGAAAATTGAAAGATAATAAAAGTTGTGTGTTACGATCCTTCTGGACTTGCACTGGTATTAGATGGGGAAGATATAAATACAGAGTTGCTGAGGGCCGCTGAGTGGGGAGAGCTACTTTCTATACACAGGGTGTGTAGAGCTCACAGAGGTTGGGGAACAGGTAGGGAACAAGAAGAGAGAAAGTAAGGAGGACAGAGAGAAAGAGTGAGAAGGATGAATTTAAAGGATGTAATATGAGCACCTAGATCCAGCCATACCTAATGCCCACTATGCAAGTTTCTCTTTTTGCTTAAAAAAAAAATCCTCCTGGAATAATCATTCTCTCTGATGCTACTGGCACACGTAAAGTAAAACAGTAACATCCAGGGACAAAGAGTCTTTTCGAAACTTTCATCCCACCGCAAGCCTAGGAGAGGAGCCGAATCTCTCCTCTCCAGCTCCAGTCTCTCATATAAAAGCCTCTGCATTCTTTCCCACCAAGCTCTGTCGCTGTGTGCCTGGATTCGTAGAACACAAGTCCAATCCCCCTTCCGGTTCCCGTTCTCTCCCAGCCCACCACAGCATCCCAGCAAAGACGGGCTCCCTCGATGGGTGCTTTCCGGGACACAAACACTTGGAGACTTCAGGACCAGGTGCAAGGCTGTGTGCCTCACTCAGTGGTGGAGAAGTTGGCTGCATGCGGGACTTAGGAGAGCAGACAGGTCACATTCCTCCGTGGACACTGTGCTAATCCCAGGGGACCATTTGCAGGAGTGTCTGATGAGTACTGTCAGTTTTTTAAAATAAGCTTTTCTGGAGGGAACCGTGACTTTGCGTAGACTGGGCTCTCCTGTGGGGATGGCAGAGGCCATGAGATGGGACACTGGTGGTGTGCTGGGGGCAGGGGGCTAACCCTTTGGTCCAGAGCAAAGATGGTTTTCAAAATGAACCTTGCTTTTATGGCAAATGTAACAAAGGGAGGGACTAATAGCAAAAGGGTTGTAGAGGAGTGGCCAGAGTTGGACTTGGGTGGGAGACTGCTTTCCCTCTAGGCCTGGCGTAGAGGGCAAGATGGAGAGAGAAGGGAGAGAGAATAATTGGAAACACAGCACCGTGGTCACATGGTTGGCTTAGCTTTGGTAATTGTGCTCAGGACATTGGAACCAGCTCTGGCTCCTACTGGGACCAAATGTCAGCAGAGCTTGGGGGCAAGCCCGTGCCTCTCCCTGGGGTGCAGCGGCCTTCCAGCGGCCTGCAAGGCCTGGGCAGTGTGTTTTCTGGGATTTTGCTCTAGGCTCCAAGGGTGTT